CCCCCGACAAAGCCGGCTGCTCTGGCTGGCTGCGCTGCCCAGGTCCAGGGGAGTCCAGTGCTGGCTGTTGCTGTGAGTGTCCTGGGAAGTGTCCCAGGGCCTGGTTGAGCCCCACCTGGAGAGACCTACAGGACTGTGTTTGCCCCTGCCCCAAGGGCATTTCTGCCCTGCCTCCCGCTCCTTTTCAACCCCCACCCAGAGGTTTTTGCTATAGGGCACATGCACTCGCCAGATAGAGAGAGACAGAGAGACAGAAAACGAGAAATCACCCCCCGGGGGGATGGCCACGCCGCAATCCCTTCTCCTCCATTCTCCTCTCAGGATCTTGGGCATGTACGCACATGCGCCTGGCGTGAGTTTAAGCCACTGGGTCAGGGACTCGAACCATGGTTGACTACATGGGAGTCCAGTGACATAGCCATTACGCCAACTGCTGATCCCTCTCCAATTCCTTTTCAGAGGGGTCCTTTCCCTCCTGCCCCCCTGTGAGTGCAGGAGGCTGACAAGGAGGGGCCGTGCCCGTGTGGCTCTGAGGAGCAGACTGTGGACCCAAGGCCCAGCTCTCCCCCAGCCGTGCTGCCAGGTGGCGGATGGCATGGCCAGGGAGTCAGGAATCTTTTATTTGCAGTTATTTTGTTTCTTTCATGAGGGGCGCAGACAGGCAGGCAGCCTCAGTAGGGTCCTGCCATGCCTCAACCCGCCCCTCCCCCAGCCCACCGGTCAGCGGATTATGGGCATGCATGGGCCTGGCATGCTGTGGTGACCTGGAATCTGAACCCTGGTCTTGTCTGTGACCTCAGCAGGGAAGAGTGGCACACCCCGCTGACGCCACTGTGGCTGGGCCGGGAGTCCCTGGGAGACAGACTCCTAGGTCTGGCAGAGCTCTTCCTCCAAGTAAGCACACTGCTGTGACCCACTGTTAGCGTGAACACATGTGTGATCGGACCCTGCATGGTGGCAAGGCTGGCAGGGCACTGCTGCAGATACTGGAGCCATGTGGGAAGGGCCTGGGGTCGGATCCCGGGTTGACCTGTTCAATCCAGGTGCAGCCAGGATGCACCCATGATCTGAGCTGGCTGCAAGACTTGGGGGGGGTCACGGCATGGTGAGAGCCTCACCAGGAGGCCCTCTGCCATGGACCCTTTCCCTCCCAGCGTCTCAGTTCTTCCTGTCCCCAGAGATGGGTTTCCTGGGCAGAGGCCCAGGACAGACCCCAAGTACTCCCATAGCTGCCACCCTCTGGCTTTCAGCCCCGAATGGATGAAATCAGGCTTCAATGTCCCTGTGTGATAAACAAGGGCGATCACGGGCCCACCTGCCTAGTAGAGAGGACAGGGACAGTGTGGCCGCTCACCAGGCCTGTGGTGCCGGGCTCCTCTTTAAGGGGCAGAGACTGGGTCGGGGGCGGGGGGATGAGGCGGCCCCTTCCCGGCCATGCTGGGCCTGAGGCAGAAGCACCAGCCAGCACCACTGACCCGTCCAGACTCGACCTCAGGGGCTAGCTCGTCATGGGCTTCTACATTCATTTTGCTTTTACCAAGTACTACTGCAAAATAGTGTCACCGACTCGGCTCCCGAGGGCTCAGGGCTCCTTACCGGTTGTTCCTCTGGCCCGACTCTGTAATGACAACAGAAGAGGGACGACAGGCATCGGGAGGCGGCCCCGGGCTCAGGGCGCTGTGGCAGCTGCTGACCTTGGACCCGAGGTCGCGGCATGATGGCTGGGGCAGGGACCCAGAGCTGGTAATAGAGGAGGGTTATCTGCCGGGGGGCCCAGGCCAGGCCCCATGTCCCAGCTCTGTGGGGTGGCGCAGGGTCATCCTCGTCCCTAAAGGGAACCTGTGACTGCCCAGACAGCACGTGCTCCCCCAGCTGCGGCTGACTCGTGGGAAGGTGGATCCTGGCTGGGACCCCACTGGCTGGCGAGCTCTGGGTGTGCACCTGTCCCGGCAGGAGGGGAGCAGTGGGGACTCCTGGGGCCGGGGCCCTGGCTCGTCAGCCGTGGCCTCCTCACTCCTCCACGTATACTCGGTCCTGGGCTCACATACCTCTGCCACTTGGCTGCCAGGAAGCAGCAGGGCACCAGCCCCACGTGCCCTCAGGGAGTCCCCGTCTAGCCAGGGACCAACGCAGACGGCCGTGAGTTGGACCCAGTGGGAATGGCTCTGAAGAGGCTCAGACAGTGGTCGCCCTTCGCCTCCTGGGGAAGGTGGCCTCGTTGCCAAGTTCTAAGGACAAGTTGGGCTTTGGTGTTCCAGTCCACGGAGGGGCCCCCAGAGCCTGACTGCTTTGGGAAGCTCCTGGCCCTAAGCCAGACTGGAGTGGAGGGGTGAGCGCAGGAAGGGGCACCCCTGGGCTGGGAGCTGCACCAGGGGACGTGGTCTGAGCGCGGTGGGGCTGGGAGGGATTCCCTACGTATGGCCCTGCTGGATTGCTGTGATTTGAGACCTGGGGCCATGACATCCCTGGGCTGGGGACAGGTAGAGGTGGCTCCCTCTGTGGCCCGCTGCCCTTCCGTCCCTGGTGGGGACCATGGGGCAGGCTGGGGGCTCTCTCACGTCCCCCACTCTGGGGTTCCCCACTGACTGCCCCTTCTCCTTGCAGATCCTGGGGGCAGTGATCCTAGGCTTCGGGGTGTGGATCCTGGCTGACAAGAGCAGCTTCATCTCTGTCCTGCGTAAGGACCCTCCACGCCCCACCCTGGCCCACAGTAGAGGGGGCCGGGTACTGGCAGTGCTGCTCCCCAAGTCCCCTCCCATCATTCCTGACCCCCTTCCAGCCAACCTCATGGTCCCTCTGCAGGCGTTTCCAGAAAGAATTTTCTCTTCCTCCCCGAACAGAGCTGCTGTTGTCCGGAGCGCACCGGGGTGGAGGGAGGCTTGGTGTCCCTGCCTGGCCCCCTCCCTCGGCCCTAACCTTGCAAAAGCCTTTGACACCCTCCGTCCCTCCATTTGCCTGTTCTACAAAATGTGGGCACCCATCCCTCCCCTCCCCATTTCAGAGAGAGGTAGGGAAGAGCCAGGGAGGACCGACTGGCAGGGAGGACAGACTGTCGGTGCCGATGGCACACCAGGAGCCAGACACTGCCCCAGCGTCAGGCCCACACAGTGCCAGGAAGGCGCCAGCACTGCTACCGCTCACACTGTCACGAGCCAGCGCCTGTGTGTAGGCCGTCCTAATCCCACCCGCATGGGAGAGAGACCTATTCCATCCTCACTGGCCAATGAAGAGACAGAGGCTCAGAGAAGTCTCCTGCTGAGATGATTGACCCACTCCCTAATGGTGGGCGTGAGGCTCCAACCCCCAGAGCTGTGTTCCTAAAGACAGCACGTGGCAGGGTGAGCCACAACGGGGAAGCCCCTTCTCTCGCTCTAGAAGCAGGAAGGAAGGGACCCAAGGCATTCTTCTGTGCAGGTCTACTCACAGTCTCCTCCAGGAAGCCTTCCAGGCTTGCTGTGTGGGCTCCTTTCATGGGCTGCCTGCTGTGAAAGGCATCATGAGGCCCAAGGGAGCCCAGGGGGGAGGCCACTCCCCTCACTGAGGGCGGCCTTGGCTCACTTCCCCTCTCAGCAGCTGCCCAAGGCAGCTGGTTTGGACTCTGGCCCTCGACAGCTGCTTAATTTGGTAAAACTGAACCTGGTGAGGATGTGGGGCTGAGGGGCCACACCTGTTACCCAGCTCCCAGGGGCCCGGCCTTCCCTCAGGAGGTGGGAAGCAAGGATGATCCACCCTCTAGCCACATTCCATGCCCAGGGGCCATGAGGCCCATCTTCTGCTGGTCCTCCACTCGGCTGGAGTCCACTCCCTGCCTCAGTTGGGCTGCACACCCTCTGCCCTCACCATATGGGGCACACTCTCCTGAGCCCTGCTTAAGCCCAGCTTCCCTGCCTCAGGGCCACTCCATGCCCAGGCAGGGCTATGCCACAGGCCAAAGTCTGGAGGCCAGGCAGCCCCACCTCCTGCTGCAGCTCCTGCCTCCCTCCCTACTTCCTGCTGCAGCTCCTGCCTCCCTGCTCACCTCCGACTGCAGCTCCTGCCTCCCTCCCCACCTCCTGCCTCCCTCCTCACACCCTGCTGCAACTCCTGCCTCCCTCCTCATACCCTACTGCAACTCCTGCTTCCCTGCTCACCTCCAGCTTCAGCTCCTGCCTTCCCTTTTGCCTCCTGCCTCCCTCCTCACCTCCTGCTGCAGTCCCTTCAGGCCTGAGCTCCTTTCAGTTTTTTTTTTTTCCCTTTTTTTTTTTTTTTTTTTTTTTTTTTTTGCATCCACTCTCCAGAAAGACACAGAGAGACAGAAAGTGATCACCCCTCAGGGGGGATGGCCACGCCACAATCCCTTCTCCAATGTTCTCCTCTCGGGATCCTGGGCACGCATACACGTGCGCCCGGAGTTTAAGCCACTGGGTCCGGGACTCGAACTGTGGTCGGCTACATGGGAGTTCAGTGACATAGCCATTACGCCAACTGCTGGTCTCTCCTTTCAGTTTGACCATGTACCCTCTATATCTGACCTCTGCTAGGCCCAGAAAGGTTAAACGGTCACCTTCCCCCTGCCCTGCGTGTGCTGTGCGCAGTGGGTGGGCTGCCCCCGCATGTGCACCTGCCCTTCCTAAGTCAGGTTCTCAGGTTGGGGCAGGCCTGATACCCCTAGTGGGGACAGAGATGGCCATCCATGCGGTGCTGAGAAACGAGACCCTACAGCTTAGCTGGCTTCTGGGGAGAGACCTGAGTCAGGGCAGGTTGGCCAGGGCTCTTCCTGAGCTCTTGAACAGTTCATGTGGGGGCAGGACGTGGAGGTGGGCCCTGTGGCCTCCTATCCACCCACCCACCCTCCAGCTAATGCCTCTTGGTGAGCCAGGGGGGAGATGAGCTTTCGTCAGGTCTCTGGAGAGTCATGGTCAGCCCTGGCCGCCCTCCGTCCCTTGGACAGTGTATTAACAAGTCAGATTCTCAGGGGCCTGCAGATGGAGTAGTGGTTCTGTTGCTAGACTCCCACATGGCTGACTGTGGTTTGAGTCCTGGACCCTATGGCTTGGTAATCATGCCGAACACGTGTATGAGTGTCCAAGAGCCCAGAAGGACAAAGCAGGAGAAGGGATTGTGGCGTGGCCACCCCCTGGGAGGTGATTTCTCACTGGTCCTCTCACTGTCTGGGTCTCTCTCTCTCCTGCAGGTGCATGAGCCCTCAGGCAAAAACCTCTACAAAAAAAAAAAAAAAGACAACTAGATAGCACATGTTCCTGGAGGGCCCAGGTTTTTCGTTACCATGGAATTTGGGGATGCTACAAAGAGACTAGTTTCCTGTTTAAAATCTCTGTTCTAAGCAGCTACCACTCTCTGACGCTCGAAGCTGATATTCAAGGTGCACGTGGCATCTGGTTTCTGATGCTCCTGTTGTGTCTTCTCTGGAAGATGTTCTCGATGTTTCTGAGTCTGAGAATCAGTGCTAACGAGGCCTAAATACGCTTCTGGATTTCATACAGACAGGACTGGATTATTTTCAGGGACTGGCTTATGATCCTTTCATTACCTCTGATTAGCTTTGGGACCTAACCCAGTTCCATACTCTATTCATTAGTCCACAGTCATATCTATAAAACTAAATAGAACCTTTCAGCTATAGCCTCCTGTCTGAGCGGGCCTTGTTGCTCTGCCGGGCTCCTCAGGGAGTGCTGGTGGGAGGACTTCTGACTCCCTGCCCCGGGAGGGCTCTGTCCCCCAGGGACTCTGAAAAGGGCTCCTCTCTCATGCCGGTCCCGTTCCTCACATGAGCACGCTTGCTCCTTCCAGGCTGTGCCTGCAATGTTCCCTCCCCACCCCGATCCAGGCCATCCTCACGGGCCAGCTGGCCAACTGCTCTGCTCTAGGCTCAAGTGTCACCTGCTCTGACTGGCCTCCCGCCTTCCCAGCCCCTGCCCAGCCCCAAAGTTCACTCCGGCATTAACCAGCTTCAGGGTTTGCAGGGCCAGAACACCACCAGAAAACCTGCACGGTTCATACACCGTCCCTGCCCCCCGCCGCGTGTCAGGCCTGTCGGTCTCACCACCATGGCCCCGCGGTCGGCACGGCCCGTGCAGGTGGCCCAGGTACCTGCTGGCTGCAGGGATGAGCACGTGTGCCCATGAGTCGGCGGGAAGACCCAGGTGTGGGGGTCTGTGTGTTCCCGAACCCCAGCTCCGGCCCTTGCTCACGCACCTCTCTGGGCCAGAGGGACATGGCCGAGTAAGACAGGTGACGCAGAGTCTGTCTGACCCCGTAAGGGCCGTGGGGCCGCAGGTGCAGGACAGCAAGATGGGTCAGACAGGCTCAGTCCGGGCTGGAACCTCTCCTGGGGCCCAAGTGGGTCTTCTCTTGGCACCAAGGGCGTGGGGAGCAGGCCCCCGCTAGGCCACAGCGCTGGGCCCGAAGCCCACTTTCTGAGCTGTGCCTCCTCTCTCCAGAAGCCTCCTCCAGCTCGCTCAACACCGGGGCCTACGTCTTCCTCGGCGTGGGTGTGGTCACCATGCTCATGGGCTTCCTGGGCTGCGTGGGTGCCGTCAACGAGGTCCGCTGCCTGCTGGGGCTGGTGAGTGACCTGCCACGCCCGGCCTGATGGCTGCATGTCCCACGGGCGGGGTGGGGGCCACCTCCCGGGGCGCACAGGCTGGCTGGGCCCGGAAGGGACCGCGGCTGACCGCCCGCTCCGTGTCCCAGTACTTCGCCTTCCTCCTCGTGATCCTCATCGCCCAGGTGGCCGCCGGAGTCCTCTTCTACTTCAACATGGGCAAGGTGGGTACCCGCCCCCCTGCCCTACCGCTGCACGGGCCACACGGGGTCCGCCTTGGGGTGGGGCAGACAGGAAGCTCTCAGTCGTTAGGGACAGACCCACGGGGTGCCAGGGACAGCCTCCGGGACCTGACATCTGCCTCGTGTGAGCAGGAGGTGCAGTGTGAGGGGGAAGGCAGCGCCTGTGGGCAGAGTCGTTGCTGGGCCCGAACCTCGCCTCTGTCCCACCACTTTCTAGCTGTGTGGCCTTGGGCAAGCCGCCTGTCCCTCTGTGCCTGTGTCACCCTCAGTGACATAGGCACCGTGATAAAACGTAACTCTCAGATGTTGCAAGGTGCGTGGCGTGGTGAGCATTCAATAAATAGTTGTCAGTCATCTGTATTATTAAGGCACCTGAACGAGCATTAACTCTATCCAGAGACGAGGCCCAGGTAATAGGAACATCACTAGTTCTGGGTCAGAGGAGAGGCATTCAGCTTTCAGGAATAAAACGTTTGACTTACTGTGGCTTAAACTCTAAGGACGCCTGTGGTCTTAACCAAGAGCCTGGTTTGAGCGTCTTCACTGTGCTGACCTTTCTGCGTCATAGCACTCACCTCTTGGTCACACAACGGCTGCCACAGCACCTGCGCAGTGTCTGTGCTGCTGTGGCCAGGGGAAGGGGAAGTAGGTTACACCAGCTGTGGCCATCGCTCATACCAGAATAGCACATCCTCCGACAGACTTCCCCAGGGTGACAAAGGCACACCCGACCTCGAGGGAGGCTGAGAAAGTGAGCCTCGAGCGTTCACATCTAGACAGAGGCTGTCGGGTGGGCCGGTCAGTTGCGACCATCTCATGGGTCATGGAGCAGCTACTATGTACATGAGGTATTTTCTAGAAGCTTTGTGTGATCTTACCCTCATGACTGCCCTGCAAGGTAAGTTCTGTGTCAGCAGATGGACAAGTGGACGCTCAGGTGGATAACAACATCGATAATAGTAACCCAGCACCCCGTCCCTCCAGCTGACTCACACACCCCCGCGCCCGGCATGGTGCTGGCCTCTCACGCTCACTCTCACCCCCTCCCCAGGCCTGAATCTCCATCCTGCCCGTGAGGGGCGAGGACAGCCCAGGCTCCCGACCTGTCCCAGGCCCCACTGCATGTGGCCTCGGGGCTCTGCCTCCTGCAGTCACCCAGTTCTTGTTCCCTCGGGGTGCAGGGCCCACGGCCAGACGTGCACCTGCCTGTTAGTACTCAGGCCAGTCACCCTGGCTCCCTCCTTGAAGGGAGCTGTGAACGCAGGCCACTGGTGTCCGCGGTGCTCCTTCCCCGGACTCGGGCGGCCTCTGGCCAGTCCTCAGGACCACCCTAGAAGACCCTGGGTCGCTGACACCGCCGCCTCCATTTTTAGGAGTGGAGTCTGAGGCACGGCCAGGTCAGACAGCTTGCCCTTGTTGGGAGAAATCAGGTCTGCTGACTCGACTGCCTTCTCGATGCCTCCTCCCCACCCCCAGGCTCCGCACCTCACTCCCTGCCCAGCCTGCCCTGTGGGCCCACTGCCATTTCTGGAAGGCTCCGTGGGGAAGTCCTGGAGCCACTCCCGGCCCAGTTGGAGCCATTTGCTTTTCCTTTCCCAGCGCATTGTAAGGCCCAGAGGAGACTAAACACACCCTCAGTGCTGTTTACTCCTGCAAGGAGGCCCAGCTGGGGAGGCGGGACTTGGAGCCCTAAGAGGAAAGGCCCTTCGAAAGGGAATGGGCCGTCCAGTCCCCAGGGGCCTCCCGGGCCTCGGGCGGAGTGAGCCCCTAGCCTCTGTCTGCAGCGCCTCCAGAAAGGCTGTCTGTCCCTCCTGCACACACTCCCAGCAGCCGCTGCTCCCTGGGAAGCAAGGGGCAGCTCGAGGCCTCAGCAAGGTGCGTAGCCTCTCCTTCCTTGGGTTCCGTGTCTGTCACCGGAGAAGGCACCTGCCCAGGGCTGGAGCCGACCCAGACAGGGACACTTCACCACACCAGGGTCCACACCAGGGCTTCGACTCTGGAGCAGACTGCCTGAGCCGGAATCCCCTGCAGTGTCTGGCCTCGCTCGTCAATGGCCGCGAGAGCACAGGTCCCCGCCCTTCATCTGCAGTCTGCCCTCCCAGGCACTGGGCAACTCAAACAGCATCTGCAGCTCACTTGGTGTTGAGGGCCCGGAGGGGAGCGAGGCTATTCGTGGTCTCTTTACCCCTTCAGGTGTCCCTTGGGAAATAGTGGCAGGGATTGCCGGGTGCTGACCCACCCCCACTGGGCCTGCCCCTTCTCACATCTGAGCATCGCTTGGTGCTGGGGCTCCGAGGGCTCCCCGGCAGCACTGTGGAGGGTGAGGGCACCGGCGAGGTGCATAGCATGACACCAGGACGTGCTGGGCCAGCAGGTGTCCGCATTCCCGCCGTCGCTGGTGGCCGCACTGTGCTGGCGGGCTGTGGTGGCAGCTGTCCTGCGTCATCGGTACTAACTCGCAGGGCGGCAGGGCCAGACCTGGCTGTGAGCACCTCTGGCCGTTTCCTGACCTGACTGTCCACCCAGCCTCCATGTAATGGGCAGACCCAGGTGTGCGTTCAGGGCCCGTGAGTGGGCTCCGCCACTGGCTGTGTGACCTCAGGCTGGGTGCCGGCTGTTCTGGGCCGCAGGTGACCTCGGCACTCCCAGCTGAGCAGGCCGAGGTTTTGACCTGTCCTCTCTGGGCCGCAGGTGACCTCGGCACTCCCAGCTGAGCAGGCCGAGGTTTTGACCTGTCCTCTCTGGGTGGAGGTGCGTGTGTGGGAGGGCCCTACTACGAGACCACCCGACGGCCTGGGCAGGTGGGCGCTGTGGCTCCCAGAGCTTCCATCAGGCTGCGAACTTGGGGGAGGGGGCAGCGACAGGGGCCGAGCCAACTGCTCCAGGGAGGTGGCTCAGGAGAACTGAGGTTCCCGTCCCCCCTCTCCCATCCAGAAAGCCGGCGGTCGCCCGTGTGCGTGCCTGGTGCAGCTGGCAGAATGCTTCCCGGGGCCAGTGCCACTCCGCGCGGTCCGCTGTTCCAGGGAGCTCCCGGACCTGCTGGGTGGGGGTTCTCAGAGCAGGAGGACCTGGGGCAGCCGAGCCTGGGACAGGGAGTGGTGAAGGGAGAAGGGTGTGAGCGGAGTGGGGCGGGGCCTCAGCATGTACTCGGTAGAGGGGAGAGCAGCGACCAGCTCAGGGCCTGCCCACCTCTCCAGGGGTGGGGGACGGGGTGTGGGCCTCTGAGGACTCTGGGGCAGCTGATCGCTGTTGGGCTTTAGGGAAAGTCTCAGGTGGCTCTGTGTACCCCACCCTCACCCAAGCAAGGACCCTCGGCTCCCGTCAGGGTACACTCTCCCATCCAGGGTGCCGGGCCTCAGAGCTGGTGCATCTGCAGCCCGGCAAAGCGCTCGGCCACGGCGCCTGTGGGGACCTGGGGAGGAAGGGGAGCCGGGCATCTGGGTCCTTGCATTTGGGCTGCCGCATGACAAGGGGTAGCTGGACACATCGGAGCACAGGACCTCGTCCCCAGGAGTGGACCAGGAGCCTGGAAGATTACCCGGAGGTGGGGGAGTTACCTGGAGCCCTCGTCCTGTCCGTGTTGGTCCTGGCTGAGGGGCAGAGAGGGAGCTGGCTTGTTCTGTGGCCCCAGCGGGGACCTGGAGGAGGAGGGGAAGTTAATGCGAGTAGGTAGGAGTCACTCAGGAGCAACTGGGAACCAACCGCTTGGGTCAGGACAGGCTATCGTCATGTGAGGTGCTGAGCTCCCCGTCGTGGGCAGCATTTAAGCAGAGCTTGGCCAAGGTGAGCATCTGGGTCATGTGCCGAACTCAGAGGTCTCTTCTCATTCTGTCCCTGTGCAGGGTCCCACTTCGAGGTGAGCTAAAAGCCCAGCATTGTGTGTGTGTGTGTGTGGGGGGGGGTTGGTGGGGGTGAGCAGGGTCAGCCCAGGACAGGATCTCAGCTCAGGTGAGACAGCGGTGGCCCGCGGGGTGGAGAGTTTAGGCCTGGAGCTGCCCGTGCCTGGGCCGCGGCCCTGTCTCAGCTGCCAGCCAGCTGTGCGATCCTTGGAAGTCCTTCTAGCTCTTCGAGCCTCAGTTTCTCTTCCAGGAGAAGGAGAGGGAGATGGAGCAGGACCAGGGCTGGCGTCCTCGGTGGGCGACCTGCACGGTCTCACAGGGTCCCGTCCCTGCCCCTCCCCAGCCCTCGGCCCTGTCTCCTCCGTGGGCTCCACAGGCTCTTTGTCAGGAAGGCTGTCTCCCAGTGAGCTGGAGATGAGCCCAGGTCCCCACCCAGTGGCCCTGCAGAACGAGGGGGCCCACCCCCGTGACCACAGGTACAAGCCCATCCCTCGGCCACTCATTGAGCCCAGGGTGTGGACAGCGCTGTGGACAGCCCGGTCTTGACACCTGCCCAGGGCAGCGAGGGGCAGCCCCTCCCAGACACATGGAGTGACACCCTGAGGAAAGGGACCACTGGGTAAAGCAGCAGCAAAGGGCCCGCCCCAACCCCAGTGGTTAAGGGGGCCAGGTCCCACACAGCTGACCGCAGTTTAAGGCCCAGCCCTCCGCAGTTTGAAAGGCATGCTGCCAGACGCGTGGACGTGCCCCAGATCCTAACAGGGTGGAGAAGGGATTACGCGTCCGCATCCCACCGGCCATGCCTGCTCCCTGTCCCTGTCCCTCTTCTGCTCCGTCTCTGGAGACTATATACACCCTCTAGCAAATAAGATAAGTGACTGAGTGAACTAAAAAATCATTTAGAAGATAATCAGTTTAAAGCAACAAGCAGGGAGCGCAGCTACCAGCCCGGCCCGGGCGGCAGCGCGAGCAGGCCTGAGCTGAGGGCCTGTGCGTGCTCGCCCTCCCTCCTCTCTCTTGGTCTCAGGGGTCACCTGGTTGCTAGGGTGACCTCTCTGGCTCCCAGCACAGGTCTCCCAGGCACTCGAGTCCCCAGGCCTCGGCTCTGAGCTGAACCAGCCTCTGTGGCCCTGGTCCCCATGGCCCAGCTGTGGCCCTCAGCCACAATCTGGCTTCCAAAACGTGGTGGTGTTTCCATGGAAACCACCGCCCTCCTTCGTCACCTCGTCCCCGGGGTTGGGGTGGAGATGGGGAAGTCGGGCCGCTGTGGCCAGTGTGGGGTATAAACAGGTCCTGGGGGCGAGCTCGGTGGGCAGAGGAGGTGGGGAGGCGGCTCTGCGCACTGGTGCTTCTGAGGAACCTCCTTCCCACACCCAGGGACTGTCCCTCACTGGGGACTAGGGCGGAGTCGATGCTTGGGGCAGAAAGACCAAGACCCGCAGGTGGACAGCCCTGGCTCCTGACCTGGACAAACTGCCTAGCACGCCTGGGCCCCGTTGAAAACGCTCTTTGAGGTGTGGCTACTAGGGCTCTAGGGGGAATACTTGGGCTCCCGAGCAGACACTCCCGGCCCAAACCTGTCTTCCACATATTGGCTGTGTGTCCTTGGGCGAGTCGATTAACCTCTCTGGGCTTGTCGTCTGCAGCTGTGTGAGGGAGCATGTTCAGTCTGCTGCCAGGATTAAATTGAGATGACGCATTATAAGTGCTTAGTACAGACCCGGTGTGTAACAGGCACTGGGGCCAAATCCTCCTGTTCCCTGAACTCCTTGTCTGCCTCGTTTGTAAATCAGCGTTTTCTCGGGGGTGGGCGGACAGGAAGGAAGCAGGTGCTGCTCTCAGGGGACCTCAAATCCCTGAGCGTGAGGGGGAAAGGCACAGGGCACAGGGACGTAGATCGTGTGGGTCCCGGGAGGGGTGCACGAAAGGCTGGGCCCTGCCTCCTGTGGTGCTGCCGGCCCTGCTGGGCGGGGGCAAGGATTGCAGGGCCAAGGAAAGCCCTGGGGGAGCCAGAGCCAGAGGTGCAGACACGACGCCACGCTCTCTGTGGAAGAAGGTGTCTGTGGTAATAGCCTTCATTATCATGCAGCGCATGGTGCTTCCAAAGCCGTAAGGTTGGTACCCACCAAGATGTACAATAATTAAACATAAATAAGAAATTACAAAGTACATAGAAATTTAACAAATAAATAAAGGGCCATGCAGCTGCCGAGGGCAGGAGTGGTTGGCTTGGACTGCCTGGGCACCCCGGAGGTGCTGGGGAAGTGGGGGCATGACTGGAAGGCCCTCAGTCATGGCAGGCCAGGGCTGGCTGGGAGTGCCGGCCCAGGAGGGTGGCTGGGCCCAGGCCGTGGGTCTGAGTCCACCCCTGCCTCTCGCCCTGCAGCTGAAGCAGGAGATGGGCAGCATCGTGTCGGAGCTCATCCAGAACTACAACGGCAGCCGGGAGGACAGCCTGCAGGAGGCCTGGGACTATGTGCAGGCTCAGGTGAGTGGGCGCGCCTGGTGCTCTGGGCGCGGTGCTGCATGTTCGGGGCTGGCTGCCTGCCCACTGTGGGGGCTCGCACACCTCGTGCTGTGCCTCTGCCCCCACCCTCCAGTCCACGCCGCCGTCCCCAGCTGCAGTGGGGGAGTCTTAGAGGCAGCTCCGTGGCAGCTGTTTTCCTGGGAGTGAGGGGCAGATGCTCCCAGCCATGGCTGTTGGTTGGGGCCACCTGTCTGCCGTCATGTCCAGCCAGACAGGGAGCGCCACCCTGCAGGTGAGGAGCCAGGTGCCACAGCTGACAGGCTGGGAGAATCCCAGGTAGGCCGCCAGGGGGAGCGCTGACTGCAGAGCTGCCCGGGAGCCTTTCCGGGTGAAAGGAACATCCTGTCTGAACCTGTCTGGGAGTGACTGCACCGTATGCGTCCAGCGTAAACACTCGCCAGGCTGAATTTGGGGATTTTAGTGCTCGAGCGATCTCCCCTGAGGTACAGGGAGACTGACTGACAGACGGACTAATTGACTTGCCAGCTAACTGACCGGCTGGGTAATGGACAGACAGGCCGACACGGACTGGTCAGCTGTGGTCCTGGTTGCTGTGTGCCCTTGGCCAGGACCTGCCCTCTCGGGGCTGCAGCCCCTCCTCTCTCCCAGGAGGGCGCTGGACATGGTGGTCCCTTAGGACCCGGTGGCACCGTGAGGGGAGGGCTGTGTGGCAGGAGGAACAGAGGGAGCAGAGTTTGGAGACGAAGGTGGGACTCGTCCAGGTGACATGGATGCAGCTGTTTTCCTGGGAGCGAGGGGCAGATGTTCCCACCTGCGGGGGAGCTCAGGTGCGCTGTGACCCAGGGTGCACCGGGAGGCATCTCGGCCACACTGCGCCTGACCTGCAGTGGCTGGAGCCGCTTGCTAAGACTGGAGGAAGCTGGAGGGCCCAGGATGGGCAGGGGCCACCCTTCCATGTGGCTGGGGGGAGAGGTGGTTCTCTGGGCAGTGACCATTCCCCATGGGGCAAGGCCTCTGGGTGATTCTTAGTTTTGAGACTTTTTTGTTATAGGGTGCATGCACTCACCAGAAAGACAGAGGAGAGACAGAAACCGTGGTCTGCTGCGTGGCAGTCCAACAGTGTAACCATTTCGCCACCTGCTGGTCACAGCCTTGCACCTCTGCACTGCATACAGCGTGGCTTTTCCCAGCACAGAGCAGATGGCTTTTCATTTTGGGGTCTGTTAAATGTGTGTGTGTGTGTGTGTGTGTGTGTGTGTGTGTGTGTGTGTGTTTCC